ACAAAAAACTTTTTTTTTATATAATTAATTGAAATGAAAATTGAAGTTTTAAAATATACGGTAAATATTAAAGTTTAATATATTAATAGATAACTCTATACTAAAGATTATTTTTTAAAATAAAGTTTACACCAAAAAATCTGTCCATAGTTTTTCAATAGAAATATTTAATAAAATTAATTGTTATTAACATACTTATTAAAGGCTTAAGTGTTTTAATGTATAGATAAAATTTCAGTAAATATGGCAAAAATTTCTTTAAAAATATATTAAATTCTATAAATAAATATTAAACACAGATTACAAATATCCAATAGAGATATTCAATAAAAACCAATTATTAATAATTAGATGACTTAAATATAAAAACATAACATAATTTTCTATAAAACTTCTAATACATAATTTTATCAATATTTATCAAAAAGTATTATTGATCTATTTTAATATATAATGTATATATTAATATATATGCTGGTACTTATAAATTATTATTGATATTTTGACTATTCTATAGATTATATAAATATTAATTAAATAATTTTAAATTATAATTAAACTTATATATTAACTAATAAAAAATAATAAACCATAATAGTCATTATGTTATGATATTTATAATTTTTTATACTTGGTATTTAATAATTAATAATATTAAATAATTTGAAAAAATTATTTATTTATTTTTAATATACTGCAGTGTCTATAATTAGATTTTAATTATCTGGTAAATTAACTTTTTATATAATTGTTTGAATAAAAACATTACATTCTCTATACAAACAGTTTTAATGCTGTTTTAATTATTTACTCTATTATAAAAAGTACTCGAAATATATATAATCCGCAAATAAATACAGTAGTTGTTGAGTATAACAACAAAAGTTTTATATACAAAAAAATAAGAGAAAAATTACTCGAATGAACTGTTTTTTCTTCATTCAAACTGTATGTATGTCCTGATGTCCTGTTAGAGTGAATAGTGAGCGGAAATGTAGTCACAAATGACTGTCTCTTTTATATTTTGATTGCGAGTCAAAAATGCATCACAAATGCAATGCACAGTCATATTCTATATATATATATATATATATATATATATATATATATATATATGTACAATATATATAAAGTATATGTATGTTATATGACACGCAACTATTGCACGTATCAATCAGTCATCACTCAATTGTAAAAACAGTTTTATAATTTAGAGTGAGAGAGAGAGAGAGAGAGAGAGAGAGAGAGAGAGAGAGAGAGAGAGCTTTTGAACCAAAACTAAATATTCAGATTCATTAAAGTGATGGTTGATTCTGCTATTATTGTATAGCTATTGCGTATACTGTATGAATGTTTATGGCCAGTGATGGATAAACTTCAGAGTAAATAATGTATTTTTATGTAGAAATGCTTTTACTATTATATATATACAGTATATAAACTGTATAATAAAATTATATGAATACTGATGCATCGTAATTATATTAAAAACATTTATAAGGTTTTTATCATTGATAAATTATCAAATATATAGTATATACATAGTATACATAATAAATTTTTATTAAATTTTGTCAATAATATCTTATTATTTATAATTTATTTATTATTGTCGTCATAATTACATAACAAATCTCAATTATAATACTAAATTTAAATATATATATATTGTCCAACTATTATATTTTTGTTATAAATTTGTTGATTTGATATAAATTTGTATATAATATATTATTTTCAGACAATAAAATTATTAAAATATAATATATTAAATATGAGATAAAATAACTTTAAAAACTAACTAATTCAATAAGCAGCGAATCATTAATATATATTTGATTATATTTAGAATAAAAATAAACTATTATTAAATCATATTTACGAAAATATGATAAATTCAGATTGACATTAAAACTATTTAATGCTATTTATAACGACAAATACATATTTAAAATAAAATTATTTAAAATATTATGTATAAATATTTAAAATATATCAATAATTGCAATCAACAATTTTGCAATAAGTGATAAATAAATAATATTTATTAATATTATATAAAATCTAATATTACTAACAATAGAGAATATAAGTTATCAAAATTTATGCTAAGAATATTTTTAAATTTTATATAAAGTTATACGATATATAAAAATATTTATGTGTGTGTGTGTGTGTGTGTGTGTGTGTGTGTGTGTGTGTGTGTGTGTGTGTGTGTGTGTGTGTGTGTGTGTGTGTAGTTAATATCAATATATGATTTTTTTCTAATACAAAAAATTTTTATATAATAAATATTGCATACATTATAATGTCTGATTGAATATTTTAGAAAAGCATATTTTGTCAGTTAGTTATGCATATAATATGAATGTGTGATATGATGTGAATGTGTGTGTTATTTGTGTCATAAATCAAATTATTTATGTATTAAGGCTTTGGATGTCATTTAGTCAAACTTACATTCACTATATTATATATTATTATACAGTATATACTATATATATATATACATACTGTATATGAAATATTGTTATCTTATTATTATTATTGAATATAATTTTAGTTTTCCTATCACTTGTTTTACAGTCGATTATATTATTTTTCACATTATATTATATATCAAAAGTCACATTTTTATACTTTATTATTATTATTATATATTTTTAATAATAACAGTCATGTTCAAATATTTGCATGTATTTAATTTTACATATAAAAACTTATTTTTTAAGTAATGTACACTTCTATTGTTTGAATAGATAAATGTAAACAAGTATTATGCAAAAAGAAAACATTTTTAACAAAAAAAATATATATAAAAGCTTTAGAAAATTAAAATAAAAAATATTAAATTTAAAGTATAGAAAAGCCTTAGAATTTATTTTTGTAAATAAAAATATACAATAAATATATTATATATGTATTCACTATTTTTACAATAATATATTAGAATTGAATTTAATTCTAATTTATATTTTCACTATTATTTTATAATAAAATTATGTGAAATAATTTTAATTTTAATTTCAAAAGTATTTTATTCCCAAAATGATTATTTTGATGTATGTTTTATTAACAAATAAAACTTAATTTAAAGCTAAGTCTTATTATTGATATATGTGATAATTTTTCAGTTAACTCTCCATTGAATTTCATGTAAACATAAATTTTAAAAGACAACAAACTTATCATAAAACTTGCAAACTTTATTATCTGAATTTATATTATTTTTATTATACAGTAGTCATATAATAAAAACAAAATTAAAACTTTTGAAGATTAAATTATAGTATTTTATTATACATTAGTATATTGTTGCTTATATTTTATTAATGATTTATTATTGCAATTGTGTTCAATTTATTATTTTAATATAACATTTCATGAATTTTAATTTGCAATATAAATTTTTATTGTATGTGCATATATTTATTTGAATTTATATTTATATGTAGATGCAATGGACAATAAATAAAATAGTGGCAAAAATAATTTTTTAACAAAAACATAATTAGTTTTCATGTAATTAATTTGATTGTATTTATATTATGAATACTAATGACATTTTGACCCATAAGCTAACACATAAGTGTCCACTTTGTATAAATAATATAAATATCCCCATAACTAACTAACTAACTAAATAAGTGGACATACAGTACAAATATTTTGTGAGCTAAACAATCGATAATTATTTGCAAACAAAATATTCTGTTCATATAAAGAAATACTGTTTAATACAGTATATTATTATACGGTATTCATGTGTTAATAAATAATAATATTATTTATATTTATACTAATTTAGTAAATGAACCATTAATATTTTTTTATTTAACTTTTACTATATTAATAAAATAATATAACTATTATTATTATTCAATATATTTATTGACTTATATAAACAATTAAGTTTATGATAATATATTTGTTAATATTTAAGACCAACAAGTTTTATTCACAGCTTTAATTGAAACCACAATAACATACATTCAATCAACACATTGAATAATTGAATGATTTTTCTGTATATTTTTATTTCGCTTATCTCTGTACACATGATAAGAGAAATGTTGTGAATAATGTATTGAACTTTATTTATCCCAATATATATACAATAGTTTATATAACATATAATATTTGTCTAAACAACAATAGTGACGAAAATAAATATACAAAACGTGTCTCACATTTGTTTTTGTTATATTAAAACAAAATCAATTTGAATAATAAATTATAAGAAATATATATATTTAAATTAATAAGATTTAATTTACTCATTTGACATTATTTGGGTTGGCAATAGGTGTGGTCAGTGAATATGTGTATGTGTATGTGTATGTGTGTGTATGTGTATGTGTATGTGTATGTGTATGTGTATGTGTATGTGTATGTGTATGTGTATGTGTATGTGTATGTGTATGTGTATGTGTATGTGTATGTGTATGTGTATGTGTATGTGTATGTGTATGTGTATGTGTATGTGTATGTGTATGTGTATGTGTATGTGTATGTGTATGTGTATGTGTATGTGTATGTGTATGTGTATGTGTATGTGTATGTGTATGTGTATGTGTATGTGTATGTGTATGTGTATGTGTATGTGTATGTGTATGTGTATGTGTATGTGTATGTGTATGTGTATGTGTATGTGTATGTGTGTTAAAAGCGCCGCCAAAATAAATGACAAAGAAATTCAATGAAAAGAAAACCGGATAAAAATTGCTATTAAATGTCAATATAAAACATTATATGAATCACAATATCAAACAATATATAAAAAAAGTACAACAATTGGCAATTAAATAAAAGAAAAGTTAATTATATCAAAATATAAAAGCAATCTAAAATTATATGCTATTTAAAAAGTGCAATATAACACATAAAATGTGTCCATCTATTTATATAAAGTGCTCAATCAAACTATAACTTATTGTCAATAAGGATACCGGAGCTAAAGGATTCTAACTTTTTAAGTTCACTTGAAATTGAAAGTTAGTAAAAGAGTTGGTTAGTTAGTGAGTCAGTGAGTGAGTGAGTGAGTGAGTGAGAGAGAGAGAGAGAGAGAGAGAGAGAGAGAGAGAGAGAGAGGAAAAAAGAGAGACGAGGGAATAGTTTCAATAGTCAGGAAAATATTGATTAATACTTGTTTTCTGTGCATTGAATTCCTTAAGGAAAATAATATCAAAAGTCTAACTCATTATTCTCAGATGTTTTTATGCTCTCTCTCTCTCTCTCTCTCTCTCTCTCTCTCTCTCTCTCTCTCTCTCTCTCTCTCTCTCTTAACTCATTCACTCAGTTATTTACTTTTACCGATTCTCTAATAATAAGAAACTCTATTTATTGATTAATATACTGTAATATTACTTATAGTTAATACATTATAAGTCAATATAATCAAATGTACTCAAATGTGTGTATGTATTCAAATGTATAGCTCGCAGATAGTGTATTAAGTGACTAAAATGAATAATAAGCAAAACTACAGTACATTATAATTATATTGATGTCATATACTGTGTATATATTAAAAATAGATAGATTTAATCAATAATCATCACTTAATACATAATTAGATGAGTTTATTATCAATTTGTGTCTCAAAATAATCTTATTATTAATTTACTGTATGTTTTTTGGTCACTTATGATATAAAATTGGCTCTCATTTTATATTGAAAAACTAGTAATCACTTTCTATTGCCTGCTATTACTTTATATAGTATTTGTCTTTAATATAGTTTTTATTGATATCAGTCGAGTAATCCCATGACTATTACCAGCAAATAAACAACAAAAAAATCCATTGAAAAAAGCAATACCAGTGAAGACACGTGTGATTAATAACTGGAAAACAAAACTCATTTATATTTTTTTTAAAGCGAAAATACAAATCAATAAAAACTTAAACCCTTCGTCAAAAAACAAATATAATATTAAATTGAGTTATTAGTAATACATATACTGTATGAAAAAAATCATAAATCTATGATATACTGCTTATTGTTTATATTAATTAATTTTTGTCATTTACAATAATAATAATTCAAATAATAAATAATACAATTATTATAAAATAGTATATAATATATCGTGACTCTACTGTAGATAGTGTGATGGATAGATAAACTATAATATATTAAATTTATATATTATATAAATATAATATATAGTATAAAATCTGTTTAAATTTTCAAATTTTTTATTTACTCTGAGAGTGATAGCGAATAAAAGTTAGTGAATGAGTGAGAGGGAAGAGAGAGAGAGAGAGAGAGAGAGAGAGAGAGAGAGAGAGAGATAGCAAATATTTTAAATATTCTGAGTGCACAATCAATTTTTATTAAAAAATAAATAAAATTCAAATTATTTCAAGATTTTTTTTTGCTGCTATCGTAAATGTTTTAAATAATGCAAACAGTAAATCAAATTTAATATATTGTTGTCCACAATATTTTTTCATTATTATCAATATATCGTTTAAGATTTTTTTTTTAAATTTGTCCACTAATTATATACAAATCAATCAGCGTTTGCTATAATATATTGTATATAAATATTTACAAATACTGTATAATATAAAGTTCAGTTTCAATAAGTTATTATTTAACTTCAATTAAATAGATTTTTTGTTATTATAATAAAATTCAATTGCAAAATCAAATCTAAAGTAAAAAAAAACTAATTATAAATTATAATTTTGTGTATATATGTTTTTGTGATAGATGTATAAATACAATTAACTATTTCTAAAATCTTTATAATTTGTATGCAATCACATTAATGTTATCAATAAAAAATTTAATTGAAATTATTTTTTTTAAATAAAATGTCTAAAATAGTTTTAACTTTTGAATAAATTAGTAATACCAATATTTATGCCATTTTTAGTAAACATAATATTTATGAAATTTATATTTAAAATATGGTTTTATCTCTCAATAGTACAATATTTTTATTTTATTAATACTATTGTATTGTATTGAAAACAATTGTAATAAACATCTATTTATATTCAGTAAATCGAAAATTCAATAATCAATTCTTTAGCTTTTATTTATTGGAATAAATGATAAAATCGTTGCGAAATATTATATATAACTTACAATATATATATACATATATATAACAATATCATGAAATACATATAAAAAATTATTGGAGATTTACTATTAATATTTGTGTGACATTTAATAAATAATAACTTAAATATATCAATATATATAAATTCAACAATTTTTATTATTATTTCACTATTTTTTATGTATCGAATCATTTATTAGTACAAAAAGTTATATGTAATATATATTTTTATCATTTGTCATATATTTATAAAAGCAAATTAGAGTTTTTATTAGTTAATTATACTGTAAAAATTTTTGCTAAAAAAATAAATAATTTAATTTTGTTCAATATCCAAATCACATTCATTAAAAATGTCTAAATACTCACAAAATTAATTATAATTATAAAAATAATACTGTATTTGTAAACAGCTGTGATAAGCTTGTAAATTACAAATTATATTATGTATGTTATTATACAGTAGAAAATTTAAAGCCACTTATATACTGTACTATACGTGCCTTATTGTCATTGCTTTATTATAATAGAGATAAATCATATTTGAAAACTATTTTTAAACTTATTAAAAATTATTCATAAATTTTGTTGTTCTGAGACTAAAATAATTTGTTTGTATTTTCATTTAATTTTTGTATGAAAGTAAAAATAATAAATTACTTTTATTTAGAAAAATAAAGATAATTTATCATGTTTTTCATTTTTTTAAATAATTAATTTATCATCTAAATAGATTTTATTAAAAAAAATAAAAAATTTAATTCAATTAAATACTACTAATACGATTCAATTAGATAGCATATTTAATTGAATTGATAGATAAATAAAATAATAGTTACGCATTATTAAAATCAATTTATTTTAATTACTTTTATAATTATCAATTAAAAACGCATACCAATGTTTAGTATGTACACACTGTATGTGGTAGCACACAGAGGTTTGTTAGGTAATTATCTATTTATTTTAGTTGTAGTTTTTTTTTGTTACCAGTCTTATATTTTTCACTTTTTATATCAATCATAATAATACAGTATATGTATGTATCAGATAATAATAAAAAATGATACGAAAAAACCATTGAGTGAAAGACAGTGTAGATAAAAGCAAACAGAAAGAGAGAGAGAGAGAGAGAGAGAGAGAGAGAGAGAGAGAGAGAGATTATAAACTCTAATAACTAGTGAATCAAAATAATGAGTAAATGAATTACATAGTTAGTGTACACTTGCAATCAATAATAAAATATAAAAAACAATAATAACAACAATATATATATGAAATAAATGTTTGATTGAAATATCAGTCCAAAGTATTTAGTGGATTAAACACGCAATGGATGAGCTAACCGATTATATTGGACAGTTAGCTTGTGGGGTCAGTACAAGTTATTAAGGTTTTATTATTATTATTTGGACATAAATTGATTCAATTTTATATTATATTGAATTAATAATAGAAATATATATAAAGATATTATTCACTAACTGAGTGTATGAACAACAGTCAGTCTAATGGCACTAACTATATGTTAAACTTTTTTTTTTAAAAAAGGATACAAAAACACATACACAACAAGACATTTATCATTTCTGCTATTATAAAGAAAATAATCATTGAATTTGTTTACACAAAACTTGTAGTCAACATTAAATTCATAGTCATATAACAAAAAGTAAAATAAATAATAATAATATAATAGATTATATTATTATATTAATAACAATCATATTTCTTCTTTTTAAGTGTCTATAAATTGAGAGACAGAAAATCAAATCAAATCACTGAAAGTGCTGTAATTTAATGAAAATCGTTTTATTTTATTTTTAGCTAAAAATATATATATATAAAAAAAATTTACAACATATTTTACACAATCATTTGCTACCATTTTGACAATAATATAGTTATAAAAACTATTATTTTCTATGGTTTTCTTATTTATCTAACATTATATGTCAGTTAAAACATCTTTTTTTCCTTATTCTGTCTCAACATCTATGAGTTGTTATACGAAATAATAACAATAAGTATTATATAAAAATATATATAAAAAGATTTGCTTTTTATGTCTATTACTATCATATACTACTTGAATGAAAATATAATTTGAATTTTATGAACACCTTTTAAAATTTATTTACTTATCATTATTATTACAGTCTTACTATTATTATTAAACACTAACTTATTTCTGTATATCTAAAAAAATATAAATTATCGGTAATATAGGTTTAATATAATTATTTAGAAAAATAAAAAATATGTTTAGTCTTCAACCATAAAATTAGTGCTAAATTACACACAATTTTATTGCAACAATCAATCAATTAATAAACTAAAGTAAACTACATGTTCATGTAAAAAAATCAAGATAAATACTAACTAATATAATATAAAATTACAAATATAGTAAATCATAAGTAAATTAAAATTAATTATAAATATATTGACACTTTAACTGTACACATAAATTTGTTCATTATTATTTTGTTGTGTAGCTAACTATATCTACACTTATATTATATGATATCATTTATATAATTAATATGTCTATCAAATACATAACAAATGCTTGTAATAATAGTTAATATATTTTAATAGCTATAAGGGAAAAGTCTTAACAAATAAAGTAATAAAATATTGCTTAATATTATAACTACTGACAGTAAAGTAATATTATGTAAAAACAAGTTATTATATAACCAACAGTGAAATTGAAATTATAGTCATATCATCATCAATGGTGAAACTGTAGGACATCATAAAAATATATTCATGAAATACATATTATATTTTATATACAGATACATGAAAATCAATATTTTTTTATCGTGAGCTATGAATATAAATGATTACTACTATAACTTTTATTAACAAATACATAATAAATTTTGGCTCTAATTTTACGCAAGAATAGCATATATTATTGTATTTATATTATATATATATATCGCATATATATGGTTTTATATTGTATATAATATATATTTATATATAAAGTACAAAACAATATATTATATATGCGATAAGAATATTTAATACAATTTTTTTAATAATTATAATTATTTTCATAACACTATTATATTTCTCCTCAAACTTCGACAATAGATAAAGCAATCAGTTTTAATAATTAATTTTAATAATTAATAACTATATTTTTGTCTAAAATTATATTTTTAGAAATCATATAAATGCAATTATGATATTGAAATTCAAAAATAAAATTTAAATTAGGGTTTAACATGTTAAGTATAAATTATCTTCTATTAGCTTATATAAAAACGTGTCATAAATTTAATTATATGGCATTTATATGTGACATAAAATAATAGCACCCATGTAAAATAAAATATATTCAATTTTTGTTAACTATTTTCTTATAATGGATATTGTTATAAATATTAGTTTTTTACAAAATTAATAATACAAAAAATAGCTACAATTATTCAAATTTATATACTGTATATATATATTCTACTTATGATTCAATAATCTTAAATATACTAAAAAAAAAAATATTTTTAAAACTAACAAATTATATGATATGAAAACTTTATATGATTTTTGTTCAATTAAAATAATAAAAGTTTTAAAAATATAGAAATATTTTAAAATATAATAGATTAGTATTAAATATATTGATAATTAAAAAAAAACTTTTTAATAATAATAATAATAATTTCAAAATGTTAAATTAGAATCTACCGGTTATAATAGTAAATTATTTACAACAATAAAAAACAATTTACGCAAAACTTACTGTAAGATTAACCAACTTTTATGGGACTGAATATATATTAATAGTTTAAAAAATTGTATACAAAAAACAATGAAAACTTTAAAGTCATTTAAATTACAATAAATACAAAATAATAAACTTTTTATTAATTAAATATTGAGTTTATTTTTACAATTATTTAATATTTATGATTCATAATACTGTAATATGTGTTAAAAAGTTATAAAACAATTTCAATACTATTTAACAAAAATAAATGAAATATATATTTAATAAGAAGTTCACAATTTGATGGGTCGGACAATCAAATGATTATATCGTTACGAATATATTCACTAAAAATATATATTCAATACTATTGTTATATATAGTATTGAAACAACCGATAGATAGTATAAACATCGGCTATGACTGAGCAGTGGGTGCTCTCTCTCTCTCTCTCTTTCTTTATCTCTCAGCGCAAATGCAATGTACTCTAAATGATATTTACTGTAAAAATAATAATATAGTTATAAAAGTTAACAAACAAAGTAAAAATTTTGACAAAAATGTAGAGAAATTACAGTTTAAATATCATCTCTATTGTGATACAATTGTTTGAATGAATTAATCGAAAGCAACAATTGATAGATAATTTGTTTGTGGTTTTCGTCTTCAAAGTCAAAAGGATTTCCATAATTTAGTTGTTTTACTATCACTTTATCAGCTTTTGTTAAGTCATTACTTAACAATCGTTTTGTATATTTTTTTGTTATTTTGATTTCGAAAAAGTGAAACCATTTGCTTCTAATTAAAACACAAAATATTGGATCCAATGAGTCAAATGTATGGAAATTATAAGCACCGGCCATAATAGCCGTCCCGACGGCCTGAGCCCTGTGTCGGTCATATGAATCACTTGAATTGACAACAGACTTCAATTCATATGTGCAAACAATAGGTTTGTCCAGAAATCTGTTCCCTTTATTACTGTTGTCAAAGATTGTCAGATCAGGTATAGCTGTTTCGGGTTCTTCGCCAAAGTACACCTTAATTGGTCGCTTTGTATCTAATATAATGTTGTCATTTGTATCATAATTCAAATAATCGGTTACCATATTAACAAAAATCATGACATTATCTTCTCGTATTTCATTATTCTTCATATTTTTTATTACACGACCAAACCTTTTAATTAGTGGTGATTCAAACGATTTGTTAGTTACTGTTAACAAAAAAAAATAAAATCATTAAATAAGATTTATATCTAATTATACAATAAATAAATTTTTGATAATTTAATATTAATTTATAACTATATTGACAGATAAACAGTGGACACAAATATTTGTGTCAATTATTACCGACTCTATCGGTGACAATCAATTTTCTATTGACTTTAATGTCTTTAAAGTTAACTCTAAAGTTGTTCCTTAAGATTTTATCATCAAATTTTGATGGACTCACTTTCTGTCCCCTAATATTTGATATTAAGCGATAAACTAATTGACTAAATATATTAGTCTTAATTTGATTTACAAATAATTTATTCATTGCTTTATAAGCAAAACATTAATGTGAATTTGACTGAACGTATTGATGTAATTAAAATGATTTCTAATAAAAATATTTATCAAAAAAGTCTACTAATAATAAAAGCATTGATCGATGTGTTTGTTATCAATATATTGAATCTAAATGTCAATTACCAGTTGAGTTGATGTGTGGTTCACCCAATTGGACAACACTTGAACCTAATGTATGTGAAGGACATGTAATAAACTCAACATTCAAGTAGTGGTCAACAGTTTTTTCAGTGAAGTAATCACTTCTCAAAAGTGTTTCAATTGGATCGATAGTAATGTCTGAAAACCAAAACAATACAAAATAAATATTTAATATCTATTATTGTATTATATATTATATAATACTAAACCAATGAGTCCTTCGGTCACATGTTTTTGCCATTTCTTTACATTCAATGTCTTCACCAGTGATACCACTGATGGCTTCGAAAGACTGTATTTCAGTTGATTTGTCGTTCCTTCAAATCTGCGCTTCATTTCTGTCTCAACCACTTTCATAACAATCTCTGAATTGTCTTCATTGGTGTCACTGTCCGAGTCTTGAGCCGATGATGTCATCAATTGTGTCGATTGTCTTCTGGTTGTTGTCAATGATGTCATAAATTGATGATTGTGTCCAACACTTGATAATAATGTTGTCTTAGATATTAACGACTGTCTTAACAGTGATTTCATTGTAGTTGTCGTTCAAAAGTATAATCAATTGATTCAAATGCAGACAATTGATGTGAAAATAGGTTTAAAAATAAATGTTTTTATTGTCTGAATGTCTTAATTGTCATCAAATTGTTTATATATTTTCCAAACACTTGGAAACTCATGTCATCACTGATTGGTTGAAATCTCAAACAGTGTTCATATAAAACGTATACAAATTATTATTATTAAAAATATAATGTAATTATCGGTAATTTAATTTAAATTATTTCTAATTGTAATTAATTGATATAAAATATATTTAAAACCAATTTATTTGACATTAATGTATCATTAATGTAATGCATGTATTTTACAAAATAAAAATCAATATTAATTTTTAAAAAGTTGTCAAAATTGACATTTTAATTTTAAAATCAATTGACAATAAGTGTCCATTAAATCTTCTGGAAGGCCGCGATGTCCACGGATTGAACGTAGTCTTCAAACTTTTCGATCTCTTCAGTCAACCAATCGATACTAACTGTTGTTCATTTAATAGTTAAATAAATAAATCATTAGTTTATTGATCTAAAACTATTGCTACAAATAGGACATACCTTTATCGTCCTCAACCACACAAACGATTGTCAATTTATGAATACCGTAAGCCAACGGAACCAACTTAGCTAAACAATTATAAAATAAATTGTTAAAACAATACAAAAATATCGCTACAGATGATGACATACAGGCGCCCCAAACTAATCCCTCAGTCTGTATGGTTCGGACACATTCCTCAAGTTTTTTCATATCTGTTTCGTCATCCCATGGCTTCACGTCGAGTATGACATTGGATTTTGCGATCAATGCTGCCTCTGGACAATACAATTAAGATTAAAAAACATTAGTTATTGATATTTGATTTAAAAAACAGTAAACAATTCAATCGATTGCATACTTTTGGATTTCTTTTCATTATAAGCCGCAACTCTGGCCGCCTTAGCCTTCTCTGCCTCCTCGTCCACCTATAGACAAGCAATCGTTTAGCAACTCATGACATCACACAAGAAAACACAACTACTCATCTGACCTCATCATCTGATCCAAACAGTTCAAAGTCATCGTCATTATCTTCAGCGGCCGGCTTCGAGGCGGCGCCGCCAGCAGTAACACCAAAATCGGCTAAACTTTTCTTAACACCGGTAAACCTAATCATTGGAAAGGATAGAAAACAAGACACAAATCTCGATATCAATTATCATATCAAACAAAATGGTTACTTAAAAAAACATTAATAATGAAGAAGAAGAAGAAGACATACGCTTTGCGTTCGTTGGTGTTAAACGACTTGATATGTGTCTGCCATCGGCTCACGTGCGGGAACTTCTTGCTGTCGACCGAACCGACGGCATCAATGAGTACAACATCCGATTGAGATGCTGTGTATCTAATGGTTTAAACATCCAAACTATTAGATCCAAACTACATAACAAACTTATGGTGCGGTTATGCCTACCCCTCGATATAGCTTCGGGACTCCAAATGGTCGTTCAGTTTCTTGAGGCCGGCATCCGATTTGAGGTCACCACCAATCTTAAGACTCATTGTTGGTATTGATTTGATTTTTCTTGACTCAAAAACAAACGGATCAATTGAAGTGATGATTGATTATGAGTGACAGTCACTGCACTTATGTCTGACTCAAACAACACGTGGACTCAAAAAGAGAGATCACTTTAAACGATATGTGTGTTCATTGTTATACTATAGATGGCTGTAGTGTTTGAATATAATGTTTAATAATTCAATTATTTTAAATTTAATTAAAAATCTATAAACAATAAATATTTTTTATTACTTTCAAGTTTGTAGTTATTATTATTATTATTATTATTATTATTATTAATACATGCTTTTAGTAAATATTGCATATTTGATGGCATAATAAAAGATTTTATTGTATTTTTATACATTAAACAAAAAGGATTTATATTTACAATTTATTTATAATAATATAATTAAATTTGTTTATTTTACACAAATTTTATCACAAAGTTTTTTTTTATATATAATAAATAAATAAATTTATACTTATTAGCAAATTATTTAACAATAATAATAATAAATAATAATAATAAAGTAGTTTAGTATAATTAAGTAATAGTAAAAATTGATTGTGTGATTCAATTTTTTTAGAAGTAATAAATATTGTGATAAATTATAATACAGTATATATTAAAATGTTATTACATTTAGACAATTAAAATTTATATACAAAACATATTATTTTTAAAATAATGATTTTTATTTCATCATATTTTTTATTGAAACAAACAACAGATTACTGTGAAGTTATCACAGAAATCGCATCCAATGATTACTTAAACAAAATATTTTTTTTCAATTTATCAATTGATTTGATTATCTCTTTCGGTATTTTTTGCCAAATATTATTCTTCTGAAGGCACTCCTAAAGTCGGGACTGAATAACATAAATAATTAAAACATTTTTTTATCAATAAATTATTAAATTAATAATTATAAAAATATTGTAAAATTTAAAAAATCTGTAATCTTGAATAATAATTTATAAAAATATACCTAAATATTGTATATAAAAATGGATTTAGCGATGAGTTAGTCCATCCCAACCAAAGACAAAAACTGAATAAATATGGATTTATGAGACATTGAGGACAGAGAGGCATCAGTAGTGCCACTGCAAAGAACGGGAGCCAACACACCATAAATATTCCTATAAAATGCAAATTAAAAGACATATAAAAAGAAAAATTAATTACTTTTTTATTAAAAAACTTTTTATTTAATAGTTAAACACTTGACAAATAAATCAATAAAACTATAAAAAGCACTACAACATGGATTTTAAATTAGGTTTATTTTGCATATTTTTGTGTGTATAATCTATGCTTAAAATAACATTAATTTAAATAATGACTTTTTTCCTACACTAATCCAGGAAATAAAATCAAATAAAATTCAATTCATGATTTAAACGGAATATTCTTTAAATAATTTTTTTTAAATTTTATTCCGTGTATTCTATGCTTTATTATATCACTAATTCAATAATTATCTAATAGTATATTAGTTTTTCATTTAAATTTTAATTGTAATAAATAAGAACAACAAAAATAAAAGCATTACTTTCTATTATTAAAACAATTAAAATCCTAATTATTACAACTTTCCAGAAAATCTATTTTTAAATTTATCAAATTATAATATTGTGTAATAATTAAAAATATTAATATCACTAACCAAAACCAAACTAACTTTAAATGTTGGTTTATTTTGTAATACAAAAGTGTAAAAATGTAAGTTTTTTTGATAATATTGTATTAAACTGTTGTGACATTTAGTGTTGAAAAGGTTACACACATTTTACATTTAATAGCAATTTAATCTCAACAATAATAATGTTAATTCAATGAGTCTATCGATAAAATTATATACAAAGTCTATTACACAGACACACACACACTAATGGTTTATAAAATACATTAAATAAATGTGATGTGTGTGTGATTATAATGTGAGTGCACTACTTCCTACACTATAACCAAACCAATGGTAGATTTGCCTACTGGCGCAAACTGACCACAAGCTCCGGGATCTACTCATGTGTTTTTATTAATGTAAGGTCATATCGTTCAATGCATTAACGTTATATAACTGATCACAGCGTGTATTGATATTTTAAGCCTTTTAATAATAATGAAAAATATCTATAATCTTTATTAAGTTGTGTCAATAAATTAATATAAGAATAAGGCAAACACATTAAGAGAAAAGCACCGGTAGTTTTGACTATACCTGTAATTATTGCTAACGTTTTGGCCGCTTTGCGTTCCCTTTTATTTTCGACTTCACGTTCATTCAAACACTTTCGGCGAAATTTTAATCTCTTGAGCGGTTGTGCTCTGGATTTTGTATTACAATTGCCGATCGAACCGTTAGATAGATTGCCGTTTCCATCGAACGACATACCGGTGTTGGAGTTAGAACTACAGCTGTCTCTTTGGAATTCAATAGACGGTACGTCCAACTGTTCCAAACAGTCCGAAGTGGATGCACACGATATATAGTCGGCCACAATATGATTTGCGGCACCGGATTGTGCGCTACCGTTGCCAACACTCATTGATGAGGCATACGGTTGTGGAGGTAATAATAGGTGTCGGGTTTGTGTGGACACAAGTATTTGATACGAATTGGCCGAACCGTTATCGGAACTGGCGTTACTACCATTGCTCGACGATATATTGTAGGTCATTGTAGTCATTTCGGTATTAGAAATATACGTATTTGGCACCGGAGGACATGAATGCGGACGACGCGATTTGGCTTTTACGCCACTCGAAGCCTTGCGTCGGATGCGCTTTTTGGCCACCAAATAGATCCGATAGTATAGTATTAATACTATGGCCGACGGACCGTAAAACGAGAACATTGTGGCAAATATCTGATACGATATGTCCTGTGAGACCAAACATCGTTTTTCTTCACGAATCCGGCGATCAAAGTCGTCGTCCTTCCAGCCGAGTATCGGTGCCAATGATATGACCGCCGATACGATCCACACGACAACAATCATTCCACCGATATGTTTGCCGTTCCGTTGGTGTACATAATCGACATTTGTGACCGCCCAGAATCGGTCACACGCTATGGCCAACAAATGTAGTATACTATGTGCACAGGTAGGTAATAAAAAAAATGTCAAATATTTGTTATTTTAAACAAACAATTTTTAATTGATGTATTTAATTTTTTAAAAAATACCATATAATTCGTTATATCATTATATTAATGTTTAATCGATATATAATGTAATTGATTTAGTAATATAAATACTTTTAATACTATTGATAAATAATTAAACATTACTACTTTATAATAGCCAAATATTGTTAGACCTAAAAACCCAAATCATTTAACTCAAACTAAAAATAGTCTTAATTTTTTACTTAATCTTTATTATTAGTTTAACTATTTTTAATTTAGTCATATTGAATTTGGCAATTTCATATTTGGCTATTTTGAAATAATCACATAAAAAATAATTATATAATTGTTTATAAAACATTAAGAAAAATTTATTATATTTATTGTATTACTTAATATTAGAGTTTATAATAAATAAATACAACATTATATTCTATTAAATTATTATTATCATCAAAAATAATGAGATCTTCTCACGACTTAATTGAAGAAAATATTAAAACCATTATTAGTTTTATTTTTTTATTGATTTATAGTTTAATTATTTATGATAAAATTGAATAAAACAAAATATTTAATAATTAAAGAAAAATAAATTATTTTTTCTTGAAAAAAATAATTACTTTCATCTAATTTACTGTTACTAAAAATAATGTAAATATAGGCACACAAATAAACTAAATTTTTCAATAACAAGATTGTCTAAATATATTATTAAAAAATAGTAATTGCATTATCCATAAGATTTGTAAATACATAGACATCAACAGGTATTTACTAATTGCTTACTTATATAATATAATTAATATAAGAAGCGATTTTCTATAATAATATTTGTTTAGTACTTCAGTTATAACATAGATTTGAACCCAAAAAAGTAAACATTAAATTGTTAGCTAATTAGTTGATAAATAAATACCTGGCTGTACAGCAAAGTACGTCAGTACAGGTCCACAGTTCGCAAAGGGATGAGCCGAATGTCCATTCCTGAGTGATCTCGTAGACGGCGCCCAATGGCATCACCAGACAGGCAACCATTAGGTCAGTGACCGCCAGTGATAATACTAAGTAATTACCCACTGATTTGAGATTTTTCTCCAGAATAATAGCTGATATAACAAATATGTTGCCCACTATAGTGGCCAGTATTAGACATCCCAGTGCCAGTGAGACTACTAATATTTCAGCGAACGTACGCTTCCGCACTTCAAACACTTCATTGATAACACCGGAGGTCAGTCCGGACATATTTGAAGCGGACGTTTGTAAATACAAAACCGTTTGATAATAGGTTATTGTCGTCACATTAGTCTCTAATGTATTAGTAGTGTTGTTGGCTATTGCACCGGTAGATAAATATGTTGATTGATTAGTTGACATTAGGTTTGTGGTGTCGTACTGATGCCATACGGTGCTGACGTTTGCACTGATACTCTGTACTGATGGTGCTATTAGTGATTCTAATGATGTCATTGTAATGTATTAATAAAATTTATATATATTTATAGTTATGATAATTATTATTATATGCTAATATCAACTGCTTATTATAATAATAGTTATTATTATTTTTATTCTTATATTTTATTAAATTTTTCAAATTTAACGCTTCAATGAGTTCATAGTGTAGTTTCATATTTGGTGAAAAACTTTAATATTAACAAATAATAAAATTTTTTATTATATTTTGTATTGTTATTAAAATCATTATCTTCTTATAGTTTTAAATCTGCAAAAAATATAATAAAAACAAAATTTTATTTTTCAATAATACTAAATATAGTAAATTTTTTAATAATTTTTATTTATAATTATTAAATATACTGTTTTGATATTAAATCCCAGRTTACAAATACATATTATATTTGTTTTGATTAAATTTTCAAAATATATCTTTTATTATACAAAAATGTTTTAATATATAAACTAAAAAACACATTAACGTAAATAAAAAAAACAAACTRAATAAAATGATATACTT